TTGTTTGGTGCAAACTGGTGGAGGTAAAGAAGAGTGTTTACCTTTAACAAAATCTCTAGTTGTGAACGAGGCCGCCGTTGGTGCGGTCCTTGTCATGCTATCCGTAAGTTCTCCCCATTGCCATCGTTATTTTACTCAAGTGCTAATATGACTTAGTTCAATGGCTTCTGGGCAGCAATATTCTTGGGAAGAAAGGCAATGATTACAGGCTGGTATGAAATGTACCGTGGAAAGATAAAGCCCAACAATGAATTCGTCAGCGCCGATGTTCACGCCTTTAAAGATCCCAGGTCATACGAAATGCTTAGCAAGGATCGGGATCAACGTGATAGCAAAAACATGGAGGCATGCGAAACTCCAGACGCCGTCACTCCAATTTCACCCGTTCGAAAAAGTGGTCGAGAAACACCAGACTACTTTGGCAGAGAAGCAAGATATAAATCACCGTCACGTTCATTTTCCAAACCCCATCCACCACAATCATGGGATTCAACCACAACATATGCTCCACCAATGAATTCAAACACGAACAAATTCTGATATGGGTTTGACATTTATATTTTATTTATTTTCAAGCATTTTTTGGCGATGTTTCATACAGTCCCTTGCGAAGGGTCAAACAGGAGTTTGGTGGCTTGGCGACTCGGCGGCTTTGCTAGGCCATGGAGCTAGAAGAAATAGAGAGCTCGGCTCGTCACCCACCCCACGCGGGATGAAAAGACTTTGGATAGTCACCCACATGAATCAAGTCAGAATACAAAAAGGACGAAACCTGGAACAAAACCTTTTTCCTTTGTCCAAGAAAAGGCCGGTCGGGTACGAAAGGGCTCCGGCCGGGTGGATAGAATCATGGAGGGGGATGGGGTATAATGTGTTTACAATACCCATATACCCATTCATAAGCCGAAATGGCCATCGAACTTACTGATTCGAGGGTACTAATACTGCTGCAGTTGTAGTAGGTATACATAGAGATCTCGGATTAGGCATGGGATATATCCCGCCTATGTAATGACGATCTGTACTTTATTAGTAGTGTTTGTATGTATTATGATGACATCAAATAGAAAATATCTAAACCAATTATCTGACTATTTCATTCCTGTTTGTACTGTGCTGGATCATGATGTGTATGTATTCTTCTGATGGCGCTGGGTATCCCTGGTGAAGTCAAGTCCACAACATCCAATAGGAGCCAAATATCTTTAAGCTCGTGGTTTGCTTAAGTCGCTAGATACTGTTGAACCATAGCATCATCAGTATTCGTACAACTTCCCTAATTCTTGAGTCCCACAAGACCCTAGGTCTTCACACATATAAGCCTCCACTCTCCTTAGCATGTCATTTCCATATAAGAGAGGAGCTAGTCCAAGCCCGATATCATCAGAAACCAGATGATGGATCTTGTTTGCATTTCATAACGAGGGTTCAGTACTGGCCAATCACGAGAGACAGTGAGTAGTGCAGATGAAAAGAAAATCTTGATCATATACTTGAGTATAACCTATGCAGACCCGTCTTTTCGTGGTTTTCTAGCGAAAATCCCGCTTCCGCATCAAGATTCATAGCAGCACATCTACGATTCCTTTAGATATCTTAAGGTGGGTTTAGATTCTTTGAAATTGTATTCTAAGCAAGGATTTCTTCTCAAGGCTCAGAAGTTGGAGTTTGATTCCTCATTTCTAATAGACTTTGCTGTACCCACGTGCCTGATCAGGAGAGTCCGAAAGCCTTGAATCAAGCTTGAGATTGTAATGATCGGTGCCTCGGAATGGATACTATATCTATCTACTATCTACTTGGAATTTTCGCCTTTGTCTCCGCTCTAGACTCAATAGATAACAATGTCAATTTTTCAATTGGAAACTTGACTTACGTCCTCATACAACCAGAAAATTCACAATCACACAAGATCCTCATTCTCACCAGTCAGATACTCCCTCCATTCCCCTACCCCCTTCTTCTACATTGCCCAGTCTAACCCCCCTCACAAAGTCCGTCAACCCATTCGCTTATTCAAAATGCGACCTGAGTCCAAAAGAACATACTTCGCATCCAAACTCGAGCTACTCTAATCTGTATCTATACGCTTCTTTCTTTGTCAATATAGGTAGTGATAACAAGAGCATTATTCAGAAAGAATCAACTGATGTTACTGTAGATGCGTAGATGAAGAGATCTGCAACAAGTGAGTGGGACACACATGATTAGCTTCTTATTTTGCTGGAGGGACGTGGGCAATCTTGAAGTGAAGAAAGGCCAAATGATTTGGCCATGGTGTGTTAGAAATAGAAATGTGTTGAAATATCATGATATGTCGAAAAATTACTACGCGAGAGTATCTTAAAGGGTTCAATCGATGTGAAAAGGTATGAATTAACCTCTTTCTCCATTTACTCATCTATTCTCACACCCACTAGATCCTCAAATTTACCTTCTTGAGATCTGGCCTTATGCTGAATTATTTCTCTCTCGCATTCAATACTCCATTAGGCTAAAACAGAAAGATTTTAAAAGTGCTCTTGACGGAAGCGCTCCTTGCAGGTCTTTATAATTCGCGGGGTTGGCTGACGAATCGAATTCGTTGGTAATTTTTTTTATACAAAATTATCGATGTTGAGAATTAGCATCAGGAGAACTAGAAGGAAATCAAGGAAAGGGTGTCATGGAAGATAGAGCGGAGGAAGGTTAGGAGAAGGGAGGTCACTATTTGGTTATGAAGTGTGTGACTGTGTTAGATTGGGAAGGTAACCTGAGAAGAGAGTTGTTGCCAGGACGAACAATTGACAAATTAGGGAACGGGTTTGTTGGCTGAATGTGATGACTTTAAAGTAATCACTCGTGAACATGATCTGCACTGATGAAAAGGTCCAACAAGCTTATAAAAGTGCTCACGCAGATATCTATTAGAACCTTGATAGAAATATATGAAGGTTGCACGCAAACGATCTGGTAGGATACAACACTGTGACTAGGTACTGAATGAAATTGCTTGGTTGACGGCGAGAGAATTCCACACCAATCAGATTGATTCCATACACTCCAATGAAGTCATGCGGGATGAAGTGAAGCAAATCACTGAATCGAGAAAGATCACACATGACGATAAAATAGATAGATAGCATCGCAAGCCATTGAAAAACAGTATTGTATTCTATATAAAAGAGGATAGGAGTTTTTCCTCTTGCCAACTAAGCATCACGCCACTTGGAGAAGTACACTATTCTTAATATCCAAATCCATTTCGTAAACCTACCTATACCGTGAGTGAATAGCATGACTAGCAATATCACATGTAAAATGTCATCAATCTAGGCTGAGCATGGTCGTGGGATTGGATTGGCACATTGCTGCTGGACGAAAATAAAATCTTTCATAGGCATCTCTGATATCCACCAGACCTGACATGCTTCCCAAGATTGTCGACTTTTGCGATGCGAAAAATTGGTTTATGAGAAAGTGTTCTATTTTAAGGTTAGTTACGGATCGTATATAAATATAAGATATCATAAAAAAGTAACAACCGAGAAGGTTATTCAGATGTTCAGTTAGTTCATTGTCCCCTCCGCAGAGGGTCCTAAAACAAGAGGTACCAGAAAAATAGTAAAAAGAAATATCATCATTGTGTCTTCTCGGTCGATTGTAAATGGAAAGGGAATCTCTTACATTTAAATAATAGCGCAACACCATTGAATGTTCCAATAGATAGTACAAAAGATGAGGCTGATCCCCAATCAGTTATGATGATTTGATCATGACTTCTGTTGGTGAATCAAAATTGTTGTCGGGAAAGATAAAAAGCTCTGAACTTAAGAAATTTCTTATGATGTCCAGATTGCGCTAGTCAATATTAAGTCTAGCATAGAAAACATCAGCTCTTAGCGTAAGCTAAGCGACGAACAATCCACACACATAATTTTGCGACGACGGAACATTTTCAAATCTTTAACACCTCTCGACAATCTCAATCTAACGACCAGTTTAATCACCGTCGACAAATACCGCAAAAATGGGTCGTCTTCACTCCAACGGAAAGGGAATATCTTCCTCTGCTCTCCCATACTCCCGCGCTCCTCCTTCGTGGCTCAAGACCACCCCAGAGCAAGTCGTTGACCAAATCTGCAAGCTTGCCAAGAAGGGTGCTGCTCCTTCCCAAATCGGTGTTGTCTTGAGAGATTCTCACGGTATTGCTCAAGTCAAGGTTGTTACTGGTATGTTAATTTCCTCGTTCTGCAATTGATGCGGGCTGGATTTTTGTTCAAGAGAAATACGAATGCTAACATTTTTACTTCTACAGGTAACAAGATTCTTAGAATCCTCAAGTCCAACGGTACGATATCCAATATTACATGAATAGTTCCATATATGCCATCATTGGATTATAGTACATCCTTGATGTGTCAATTTATATCTTTACAAACGCCTCTGCTTGGTCATAGACTGACAGAGTGACAAAATAGGCCTTGCCCCAGAGATCCCAGAGGACCTTTACATGTTGATCAAGAAGGTTCGTTCAATTCTATCCTCGTAGCTGACGTTAAGTTATACTAATCCATTAAATCTAGGCCGTCGCTGTCCGCAAGCATCTCGAGCGTAACCGCAAGGACAAGGACTCCAAGTTCCGTTTGATTCTCATTGAATCCCGTATCCACCGTCTCTCCCGTTACTACAAGACCGTTGGTGTTCTCCCACCAACCTGGAGATACGAGAGTGCCACTGCCAGCACCATGGTCGCATAAAAAGTCTCATCATGACAAAATGGATATGGAGTTGGGGTGTGGACATAATTGCATCACGAATTATACTACTTTCTTGAGAAGGAGTACTGCTATATTGGCATAAAAACTAAATAGCAAATTAAATATTAAGAAATACTTCCAGCGCCAGCCTTGTTCTCAATTATTGTCCAATTATTTTAACGTGATATTTCACTCCTTGAACGCCCATCTTAACATGATTTTGATGTGCCTAGGGGTATTGTATCTAAAGTCCATCTATTTTTAATTCCCTCCTTCCAACTCCTTAGATTTTGATAATAAAAATTCTCCTAATACTCGTAAAGGATCTTTTGGTCTATTAAGAAATGATTGTTAGTTTATACGCACCGTGAGAGATTCCTGTCGGGCAGCAGATTCAAGGTACATACTGGTCCTTGGCTAATAGTTTCATGCCCTCTAATAAACTTCCCGTAACAGTCTGATTCAAATAAACCCGTGCCGGCGCTCCATGCACACTTGCTTCAGTTGGCAACGATGGCCCCGTATCAGGATGTTGGCTAGTAGCTCTCGAAGAATTTTCCTTCTCTGCATTCCCATTTACCTTCGGTACTGGCGTACTTGTACGCGCAGGAACGGGCGCTGGAGAAGCTGTTTCGCGATTTACGTTCGCAGACGAAGTGGAAGCTTGATGCGAGGGAGGTAAAATGGGTGAATGAGAATGTATTTGCGATTGAGTTTGAGCAGTGGGTGGAAGAATTGCAGCGGCTGGAGACTGTGAAAGAGTTGTATGAGTAAGTATAGAGAATTCTAGGGCAGAAGACAGTCGCGAGAGGAAACGTCCAATTGAATCTGAAGCATGGGAGGAAGGAGAAAATGGAGGGATGGGTGGAGGATAAGGGTCTGGGGGAAGTATAAGGCATACTGCAGGTCTATGAAGAGGCGCATCTTCCATAACCACATCGCGTGTTGCGCCCGGCATTTGGAGGACGCCGGAGGATGTGGATGAGGGAGGTGTTGAGGACGATTGTGTTTGCATCGCGAGTTGATAGGTATGCGCGGCTGAACTGATGCTGGGTGTGCTATGAGGGTTGATTTCGGATGATGGCGTTTCGGGTTGCGACATGCTGGATGTGGAGTTAGGTGTGGATTTATGAAGGTTTGGGTATAGGTTTATGTCGCTATGATTGGATTGTGTAATTGGGTAGAGGAGAATTGCTTTCTGCCAAAGCGGTGAATGACGTACCGTAGCTGGTAACGTGCTCAGGCGTATATTGGAATGGTTGACGCGCTTGAAGACGCGGATGTAAGATACGTTCTTGCCATAAAATTATATGGGATGGATGAAGTACTTCTGTATACAAAACGTTCGGTATAATGGCACTCGAAGAAATTAAGAACACTAATCGCAACGTTATGCTACATCGAAAAACTCAACGTAAGATACCGCAAGACTTTAAAGATAAATTGTTGCCACCTTCAAAGCGTTTGAAAACTGCGGAGAGTATAGATGGTGATGATCTTAGTTCTCGGTGTCCTTCGGATGAAGATGAATCATTACCTTTATCCCCACGAATCCGAAGTCCAATTCAATTCAGAAGTACGGAAATTCCTGATTCGGAAGATGAAGCGGAAGATGAAGCAGATCAGATTGTGGCTCCCAGAGTGACGGAATTGGAGAGTGCGTTGCCACCAGTTGTTATTAGTAAGAATGCAATTGCTGAATATGAAGCAATGCGTGCCGAAAATGAAAATCTTCCAGATGATCTCAAAGTGAGGTTGGCTGGGAGGACTTGGGAGAGGGGTAAAAGTAGTATTTATAGTGATGCTTTCAATCTTGCACTGGAAACTGTGTTAGAGGATGAAGGGCATCTATTCGATGAGAAGGAAATGGAAGTTTTCAAGGAATGGAGAGAATTGGAATATGAAGCTCAATATTTGTAAGGCCCGATTATTATCTCTAAATTATAACTTTTGAGAGCTAACGAACATAGGTATGTACGTCTTTTCTTACGAAAAACTTCAGCATGGCATCGTATAAACCGTTTGGGTTATCATGGAGATTTGACGGATGTTTCTGCAGCTTCGAAAGTTCTGCAATCTACCCGAGTATTACCAGTATCAACCGCAACAATTCAAGTCAATCCAGCAGAGTTGGGACCTCCCGAAGGAACTGTCCTTGGAGACTCGTTGACTTTTGCTGATTCGTCAGAAGATCAGATCAAAACCTTAGATGAGGCATTATCCCTATTGAACCTTGATGAACTAAAGAGCTTAGCAAAAGAACTCAAGGTTCAAGGAAAAAATAAAGCTGATATACTAAAAGCACTTCGCGAAACAAGTCAAAGGCAGGCTGGACTCGGTTATGTTGGGTTGAAAAGAGCCGACAGTGCTTCTAAATCAAACCCTACGACTCCAGATGGATCGATTCCCGAGGAAGAAGATGACAGTCTTGATCATATGAACAGAGATGTTCATTTTCTCAGAAAGATCATGGCTATCACAGGACCTTGTATACGACTTTCACTACCAGCTTTAAACTTATTCGAACGAGTCCATCTCGTCTTCTACAGATCAACTGAATGGACCGATAAATCTCTAACCACCATCATTCTTGCCAGAATATCCCGCCGTAATTTCCCCTCCTATATTGTCTCACGATCAACCAACATCTTTCCCACCCGCTCCACCCTCCTCGAATTTGAAGCCTCAATTCGAACGCAGTACCGCGTCGACAACATTCTCGATGGACATCCACGCAAGTCCGACCTAGACCGAGTTCTTGAAACTTTCGAAGCCATATATCCCCGTTGGAAAATTCTCCTGGCAGAAGAACAACGCAAAGAAGACTCCATATATGAAAGTGGAGAGGGTGGCTACCTTCGTCGATTTTCTCCAGCATGGGTCTATACACGCATTGTGCATAAAGCCCTCTACGTACTCGGACGATTCAAGTCCCACGAGAAGGAATACGCTTTACTCATTGAACTCCTTTCTCAAAAGCTTTTTCATTCAGCACGAAGGGGTGCGTGGTATCAACGCAAAGCTCTTCTAGAAGAACACTATATGTATACTCTCCTCCCAACCCCAGGAATCAAGAATCCAGAACAGCAAAAACGTCATTGGAAACGCATTTCGCTCAAAACATGTGAGCAAGGTCTTCAAGATCGACATTGTCATACTATCTACCACTACGACTTACAGAAACGTATCCGTAAACTCGAGAAGACACTCAAGATCCCTAAGAGAGAAAAGCACGATTTTGAGCATGTTCTTCTCTCTAAACCCATCGAAACAACTATTCAAGGAATTCAGATCAAAAAGTCGTATCTCACACCTACAACTCTCCGACGTAAATCTAGCGCACCCAATGGATTTGAAGAGAGACAACGCAGTACCAAAACCATTTGGTTAGATGAATATGAATCACTATCAAACGCATCCGAATGTTCCGTTGAACAATTAACTCTAAGTTACTATCGCAGCCTCGGGTTTCGCGGCTATCACTCTGAAGGTGGCATTCTACGCACTTTATTCGCATACCTCTTTTTCGACATCCTATTTCTTTACATCCCCAATGTATTTCAGACAGAATACCAAACTTGCCCTCTAGACCTACACACCGAGTCATTCTATGAAGCTCGAGCGTCGGAAATCAATCATCGAATTGTGGAGATTGAGAATGGAATGGCAGCAGATATCATAAGGAGGGTTTGGGAGAGGGAAGGGGAGAGAAAGACGTGTGTAGTGGGTTTGAAGTGGGAGTTCGAGAGGCAGGACTTGGAGGGGATCGTGGAGGCTTTTGGGAGTGGGTTGGGGAAGGTGATGAGGGTTATGGCGGAGGAGTATCGGGTAAGAGGGGGTGGAGTACCGGATTTGTTTTTATGGGATGATGGAGTGGAGGATGAGTCAACGCAACAAGAGCCGGTGAAAAAGGAACTAGAAGAAGAGCAAGATATCAAGATCGAAGACCCTGAAAATGTTGGGGAGGAAAAGAAAGAGCCGCAAGTGGAGAATGAGTCCAAAAATGAGCCACAAGACACCATCAAAAGGAGAAGAAAACAAGAAGTACTCTTCGTAGAAGTCAAAAGCGAGAATGATAGACTAAGCGATACGCAAAGAATGTGGATACATGTACTTCTAGGGGCGGGGATCAGGGTTGAGCTTTGCAATGTGGTCGCGAGGGAGGTGAGGGTCATTGATGCTGAATAAGGGATAAGGAGGAGTAAGGAATTGATTTGGTCTGGTTTTGACGGGGTGAACTGGACGAATGGGATGGATAGAATGGACGGTAGTTGGTGAAAATTTAGTAGGTTCAGGCGGTATAATACCTAGCTAATGTGATTTCAATTGAAGATTTGCCTTCTTAGTGTTCCTGTTCTGACGAATCAAGCCTGGTATCACGTATCTCGGATTCTTTCACTACTATCTATAGTCTCTCATACCTCAGTACTAATTAACGTGGCGTTTCCGTAATAGTTTCCACCTACATCTCCTTTGTCTTCTGTAAGTGCAGTCTACGTATTACTCCATACTTAAAAAGTACACTGAAAAGTCTTCAGGTCGCGGATGGAGCCTGTTATATTATTATTGTGGATTTTTTTGGCCAGGAATTTGGTTCGGAAATTGGCAGACCAGGCGATCAATGGGAAGATCTTATTGACGCACTGGAAGATGAAGGAGAAAATGAAAACAAGCTCTCTATACATACCTCTAACAAACATATTATTATCGGAAGCGTTCTACACAACATGACTTTCTTTCGTCCATAATTGAAATATGCTGATCTGTTGACTCTACCGAGTACTTTAAGAGGAATCAGACGAAGTAAAATCTGAGTAGGATACATCTTGCTCTAGTACAATTCAATCACGTGCAAAATGTACTCAGAACTTTCTCTAAACATCCAATTCATCCTGCACCAATTTAATTCTCACCCCATTCCCATTCTCCACCGCCATCCTAAACTGTTCCGTCCAAGGTCTCGAATCCCGACTTTCCATTTTCGAGGACTTCTGCATTACTCTCACAATAATATATGCCGAGTCAATAAAAACCATCTGCTGAGCAGGGCAAATGCGCGGCCCCCCTGAAAATGGAAGGTATTCCCAAGTTGGTTGCAAGGTCTCCCATCTCTCGGGACGAAAATTATCGACATCGTTGCCCCAGTAGCTTTTGTCGCGATGTAATGCGTGGATATCACATGTAATATTACTACTCTTTCTGATCAGGAAGGGGGCCTTACCGTCAGGGCCACCGCCAAGTGGTAAAACGGTGTCTTTGTGGCACACTCGTCGTAGAAATCCTGCGGTGGGGTGAAGACGGAGACCTGGTGAAGATGATTGATTAGACTGGATCTTACGTTGCTAGAAAATAGCAAGAATCTGGGAATCTTTGAACGACACCAAGCAAGAAACAAATATACATACTTTCATTAAACACGTATCGTAAGTTCTTCATTGACTTAAGAATTTCGAAGCTCAGCGCCTGTCCGGTCGTCGCAGCGAGTACTTCTCTCCGCAGTTTATCCCATCGATGCGCATCACGAGCCAGATGAAGAAAGATATCGCTAACAGCTATCCCCGTCGCATCGTGAGCGGGAATAAATACATGGAAAAGTTGATAGCGTAAATCCACCGGATCTTGTGTCTCCTTTGCCATTTCGTTCAAGAGTACATAATGTTTTTGAGCGGTACTCTCATTTTCCTCTTCCGTATTCTCTGCACTCTTCTGACTCTCCAGAACCCGAGAGACGTGTTTGTCAATATAGGCATGCACTTTCCCGAAAGCCTTTTTCCACTCGATATCTCGACCGCGAATGAATTTCAGCTTGCCGAGCATCATTTGTGCGCCGAGACCACGCATGGTCATATCGAATGCATTGAGGAATTCTCGAGCATCGAAGGGGGCATTTGGGGATTGAGATTCTACCGATTCACCGAACAGGAATTCGGTGGAGACATCCAGAAACTTGGAAATAGTCAGTCAAACCAAGCAGATAATGGTAAGCCGACCATGACAAAACGAACAATAACAAGGAAATATGCACCATACCAAATTCTTCGTAAGCGGTTGCAAATCAACCGTCGAGTCATCACGCGGAAGAAGATCCAAAAACCGCGCGACGTGTTTCTCCAGAGCGGCAAAATTAGAAATCTCAGTCCTCGCAAACGTGGGTCTTACGAGCGAACGCGAGCGTTGCCATATCTTCCCATCCGCGGTAAAGATTCCCTGAGCCTCCAGCGATCCACCCCCTTTCTCCGGCTTAACCTTCACCTTTCCGAAACTCCCAAACGAAAGCGCGAGGACCGTTTTGATGTTTTCGGATTCGCAGGTGTGAATAACCGGTGTTCCCCAGGAGTTGCTCTGGAAGGTTTTCCCATACGTGGCGTATAGCTCTCGGTTTGTCTGGAGCACTTTTCCAGTTTTCATCGCTGCGCCCATCTTGAAGAACAAATCGAGGCCGAGAAGCGGATCCTTGTGTGGATATATCCTTGGCTGCATGCAGCCATTTTTGCGTTCGAGGTCTGTAATGGTAAGATATTCAGAGAGTTTCTTGTATAGATACACGGTGATCAATATTCCTGTAGTCACTAGAGCTAGATAGGTGGTAGTCCTCATGATTAGGACTGTTCATTGAGAGTTTGATGGTGAGACGATTTCAATATCAAGTCTTGAGAGAACTTTGTGGATGACAAGTTTAAAGTTCCTTCGCCTTGCTTTATCGCCATCATGATATGATCTACCAACATGTTGGAATTATATTAATGTTAGGAAGGATTCGTCCTATCTTATCTAAGGACTTTGGATCATTGGGCTGCGGCACATGTTGAGAGCGGTTGGAACTGCTTTTTTCGATAAAAGGGGATTGATACTTGCTATTGGACTGATGGACAAGCAAGCTCAGCCCTTTTATGTTTCGCGCTACAAGTTGGCATTGGCATGCAGAGTTTTAAAGCACACAAATCTAGCACAGTGAATCTCTATCTATGCTCGAGCTGTCTTAGTGCCTTTGGCTCAACGGGATGATAGAATTCGCGGTGTAGCCTGCATAAGCGACACAGGTCGACAACGGCGGGCAAGCCTTCAAGATCACGATTTTGTGTTGCAAATCAAACAATAACGAGAAATTTTCCACAGAAATAAATCTTTATATATTATTCAAGGACGTGAATCCGAATCCGGTACGTGACCATTACTTCATATAGGAAAGGCCTGACCAGTCATCCAACATCCTGCTAACCCCATAATTTTATCATCATATCCAAGCACTCGTGGTATCAAAACGACCAAAAAAGTAACCAATCCAAAAACAAAAACGTCAAAAATCCCCAATATTTAAGCCACAACCCCAGTATCCCTACCTCCTCTTTCCTCAAACGCCTCTCTCGCTTTGACATTTGCCACTGCGCTCTGGAACGCACTCGTAAGGTCGACGTGGAATAATGGTCTATTGAGACCGGTAACGACAGCCGTTCTCGACCTCGTGACGTTTTTCGACACAGCTTTCAAATCACTACCACTTCCACTCTCACTATCACCTCTAATTTGATTTCCATTTCTCAGATCCCGTTCGCGCGTTCGCTGTTCCTTGATTTCTTTTTCGTTGGTTTCAGCTTCTGCTGCTGCTGCCGCACTATCTTGACCTCCCATTTCCGCAACCGAGAAAATCGGCTTCCAACGGTGTGATCCTTCTTCCTCGGGAGTTGGGTATCCGAATCCAGCGGCAACGAGAGCACGCTTGGTCCAGCGGTTATTGATAGAGGTGAAATGCCAGTCTACGACTGAAGGGGATGCATAAGTATCCAGTTGATTGCGGACATCGATGAGTTGTTGGATGGAGGTTATATCGACATTGTTAACGGAGCTGAAGTCGAGGATGATAGCTTTGAGGGTAGGGCGGTCGCTATGATCTTCAGGAGCTTTACCGCGGCGTGGACCGGGGTCATTCCATGGGCGATCACCAGGACGAGCGTAATGGTTAGGGTTGGTTCGACGGGTTGTTGCGAAGATTGTATTGGTAAGGTGGTCGAGATAGTGATTGGCGTTTGGATAGTTAAATCCTTCTGAGAATCGATATATGAAGATGCCAGGATAAGGTGTTTGAACATCAACTTCTGGATTAGTTCCATCACCGTGGTCAAAAGGAAGGAAGACTGTTCGAGATCCAGAATCTTCGAATTGAGTGGCATCAGATTTTGGGAAAGTGCCATTGTCGACCAAAGGTGCTGATCTATATTCGGCAATTTCACCCCCGATCGAAGTAACCTTGACTTTACCAAGAAAGCGTCCTCTAGCCTTAATAATTCGGAAAATGAGAACGGCGAATGAAACGCAAATGGTTACGTAGATACCATCTTCAATAGTGGTAAAAACGGTAACAATGACACCTGCGAAGAAAATCGGAACCTCGAGAGGGGATACACGCCAGAATTGATAGACAGTATTTGGGGGTGTGATGAGATCTCCGACAGCGTGAATAATGACTGCAGACAAAGCTGCACTTGGAATGTAAAAGAAGACTGCCGTAAGTGCGTAGATAGCAAGAAGAACGATGACAGCGGTTATGACACCAGCGAATGGAGTTCTGACACCAGCCTTCGATTTGATAGCTGTACGAGAGAAAGAACCAGTAACTGGATAACCACCAAGAAAAGCGCCAAAGATGTTGGTGACACCAATAGCTACCATCTCCTGAGATGGGTTGATAACATAGTTGTTGACACGTCCGAAAGATTTCGAAATTGCGATGTGCTCGATAAGGAGAACGATGACAGTGGCTGGTAAATCCCCTACAAAGACGTTGATGATCGAAGAGTTGACTTCTGGCACGGCAGCATTTTGAAATCCTCGTGGAACTTTACCGAGAATTTTGAAGAGTGGCTTTTTGCGATGATGCATGTTTACAAGCCAACTAACCAATGTGTATAACAAAATAACAAATACGGTTCGAAGAGTTGCGGCGAAGAAAAATGTTCTTTTGTGGTTTGGGAACTTCTTAGCTCCATAATTACAAGCCTAAAAATGATAATTAGTAATGATCAAGGTGTTAGCAGAGGTTCACAACTTACAGCTCTAAGCGCATATAACAGGAAAAGGGCTGTCAAGCCGATGGCTGCATCAAGTTTTGTATTGGGAAGACCCTTCAATGTGTTGATCACAACCTTATAGGTTGAAGCTCTAGAGCTGAAGCCTGTGATACCCATCAACGTTGGAACTTGTCCAACAGCAATGTTGATAGCGGAGCCAGTCATGAATGCCGAAATTGAAGTAAGGGAAATCAAATCAACAATCCAACCGCATCGAATAAGTCCGATAAAAGCAATGATGCAACCAGCAATTACAGCCAAACAAGATGCAATGACATGGCCAGGAACGTCAGGGTGAGTGACAGCAGCTTTCACCAAGATTTGACCAACGAGAGTCGACATGACAGCAACAGGTCCGATAGTGATATCCTTTGACGTAGCGAAAAACCAGTAAACAAGAACTCCCATGAAAGATGAGTAAAGACCAAATTGAGGTTCGAGCTCAGCGAGGGTAGCATAAGCCATACCCTGAGGTACGACGACAGCACCGATAGTAATACCTGATCAACGTTAACAATCAGACCCATTGGAAAGTACTCGGTACTACTCACCAGCTACCAAATCTCCAAATAACCATTGCAAATTATAGCATCCAATCCAACTTAAAAATGGAAATAGCGAGCGGCCATAAGCGGCGAGATCGTGTCGGTTTGGAAGGGTATCCTGGATCCATTCTAAACTTCGAGGTTCTTCCTCTACGAATGTATCGGCTGTTTGAATGGAAAAGACTGACTCTCCTCGTAAAATCTCCTGATTGTTGAGTTCATCGCGATAGTTGAGTTTGATACCGAGGACCTTAGCCAGTCCATGGCCAACTTTGGTAGCAGCCATTGTGGTAAAAAGCAACTTGGCTGTGAAACCTGAGATAGCGGAAGATTAAGTGGACAAAAAAGGCTATTCCGCAAAGGGTGGGTGTCAGTAGATCTGACCTGACAGATATGACAAGGCGATCTGCAAGTTACTCCCAGATGGTTATCCAAGAATCTGTAACTTTATGAGCGGATGCAGGGCTGATATAGCCGTATCTGCTCCCAGAAAGCCGGGTCGATATCAGATGATTTTGTATCTGACAATTGAAGAAAAATGTGATTTAATAAAAAGTAAAACTGTCTGACATCGGAACTATTCAAATGCAGGTCGAGAGCTGGAATAGATAGTGCAGCTTCTAATTGTAAAAAAGAGGCTTTTGTTCTCGAAAGACTTGAAAAGGTAAGACGTGATCCAAGAGTGGCATTCAGCAATTGACCTCTTTGAAATTTGGGGGTGCGCCACCAATGTATTGCGTGCTCGTGGATGAATAAGATGGAAGAGAGAAGAGCAAAGGAAACGACCAGGTAAATAAGTGAATCCCTGTGTGTAACCTTAGGCTGATCCGGAATTTGGAGCCTTTTGAATTGAAATACTTTGGTAGTAGACGTCAAGCCAAGTATAACGGGCTTGCAAATTCTTCGAATTTGGGGGTTTTAATATTGTACTACTGTGAAGCTAGAAAGACTTGCGGGAGATTTGTCTCGAAATGGAAGAGGATATTCGTGGTGACGGGATCGTGCTGGAGAGATGACATTAGTTGACAAGGGTACAATATAAAGTGGTTTGATGGATGTATATCTAAAAATGGTGAGAGTATCTACTTATGGTAATACTCCAATAATAATTATTAAGAATGGGTTTGGTATGTATTTTAATTGGTATTCTCTAAATTTCTAGAATTCGATTTTCTGGTTATGGGGACGTGGAGATGGCAGTCGCGGATGGCTACTCTTTCTTGATACAACAGGGTAGGGAGTATCCTACATACAACTTTGAGATGTATCGAGACTCAAGATTCAAGATTCGAAAAGAGGTACTGTAGGTACTCTGAACTCTAGAAAAAGCCCTTCAATCTCCAAGGGACCAAGGGTATACGTTCGAACCTCAATTCACAATCAAATGTCTTAAATTGATTTGGGTGTAAACGTAACCACACTTATTCGGTGTACGAATAATATGGGGAAGTCATTTATCAGGGGGATTAGAAATACACTCTGGCCATTTCTCTAGCCATCTCTTTACCTATTTCTTCTCAGAGCGGAGTTCTTCTCTACTATAAAATTCTTTTCTTTTCATAGGCAGTCTCGGTAGTATACTTGGTACTGTCCTGTCAGTCTATTTCATGGCAAAGTTGATCTAGTGTTACATGTACCACATTTTAGTGGATATGTCATCATCATTACCATTGTTACCATAATTATGCTTTCTTTACCCCGATCCTAATTTGGTTGAACACAGAGTTTCCGCCTAGATCTTCCGTTCAAAACCCCAAGCAGAGCAAGGAACCAAGGGAGACCAAGGGAAATGGGGACAGCTCTTTGTGAATCCGGAACAAAATAAATGGACTTGTAGTGGATGAAGTGGGCGAGGTGGGAATATTTTCAACATGTCGACGTATTTGCCGAGCACGCAATTCGCTAAAATTGATCTAGTTTTTCGAAATTATAAATTAGTGTCAAGCGAAGATGAAGGAGATAGATCTCCAGGGACCAAAAGAAGACAAAGGAAAACATTAAAAAAAAGCTTTCTTTATATCTGGAATCTTGGAAATTCGAACAGCTGAAAACTCTATTGCATACATTATCCAATCATTGGCGGCAAGGAATAAAGAGAAAAGGGGTAGATTGAATGAACAAATGAACAAATGAACAAATGACCCATTGATATGGCGTTTCTCATTGATTTCCTTGTGAGGCTATTGTATAGTATAGGGAATAGAAAAAGATCAGCTCTTCAGGATTTTTGATAATTTCACAAAGCTGTCCCTTTCAAGCAGTAGATTCGGCTATGGCCACGCAAGGGTAGCTCAAACCTTGTTCATGCAAGTTGCAGCACGCGGATTATCCATTGGGAAATCTCCACCCAATGACCGTTTTGCTTCATGATGCAATGGGAGGGATGAAGATCGCAATCCGATAAGATGCGATAAGAATGAAAAGAGGCTTGAAAAGCTCCGAGACATCATAATAATTTCAAGATTTTGGAGGCTTGAAAGGCTTGGAGGCTTAAAAGCTAATGTTTCTGAGCTGAGATCTATGTTGTAAATGGGATGGAGTGCAAAATTGTATTTTGATTATTGAAGATTGAGACCACCAGACTGGAGATAGTATCTTTCTTTCCCTTACCAACAAGAACCCGCGGAGATGAGGATGAAGGAACCTCCCGTCAGCCAAATGTCTTGGGAAATACAATATGAGTTAGTCCTGACAATAGGGACTGCGCATGGAGCGTTTGAAGCGTTTGGAGCTGATAAAAAAGTATTCACTGCGTCGATGAGAGATTATTGTCGAGAAAGATTTCAAAATCCGATCAAGCTCCTTCTTCTTGCCTCCAGATTTCCAAGATTTGAGGACTCGCGTCGAAGTGGAGAATTGATTGAATATCACATGATATGATCACGTGCTAGTATTTGCATGCGGCCTTGCGCGGTCCTCCATCCCTTGTCGACATGTTGTTGGCTTGAAGTTTAAGCAGAAAGACGTTGAGAAGGATATCATTGTCATTCTACTTCAATCAACATCTGAACAAAGTGTTGACAATATCGTTGCAGGTTTGTACATTAGGTAGGTAGCTTTTTTATGGTTGTCGTAAGTTATGTACCTGTGTACCTGTGTTATCACGAAAATTCGCGGTTTACCAGCCACGGCTTCACTTGAACCACACTTCACACTTCATTCACCCTTCACCCTTCACTTCATTCTTCATCCTTCACATTTCAAACTTCGCTCAGACTTCTGCTGACATGACAACAACTCAATTTGATAATCTGATAACAGACAGTACAATAGAAAATAGAACGATACCATACCTAGGTACTTCATGCGATTGATTGTATTCACATAATCATATTCACCATTTTGGATCTCAAGAACAAATAATCGAATTTATTTATTACTATCACTCCATCCGTATCCTTAAATCCCAATTCAACAAATAATGCGATAGCAAAATGGCATCTTCATCCCCCACCAAAGACGCATTTCAATTTCCTACGCTGGCCCCTCCTAATCATTCTGTCCTCAATCCGCCAGCATCTCCCCGCCGAGCTTTAAGAAGATTACAGTCCGCGCACACTCTAGGTTCATCATTCAATCAACCATCCCTGATCTCACAGCAACATAAGCAAGCTTTGCAAAAGATTATTCCGCCCGTGCCAAAAGATGCCACACAATCTTCAACTACAACTCATTCCAGAGCAAGATCCAATAGTGATGTCACGAATATAGTCCCAGTCCCAACTTCTTCGATGAGGCGCCCTACATCAAACAGAAAACTTACCGCGACAGAAAGTATGTCGTTAGACCGTCTACTTAGAGAGGGCCCCCCCGATGGAGATATAATTGGAAGTTTGGAGAGTATGAGATTGAAGATATTGGATCAAGGGGTTAAGAGTGATAGCGATGGAATGGTTTGTCAATTCCTCCCTCTACTCTACCACTTCTGCTAATAGATACTTATTTGTCAATAGTCCTCTTTGCGCATCTACATCTGGCTCATATTACTCAATGCACCTACTCTTGAAACCGACGCATATCTCTCTCTGATCCATCGCGGTGCATCTCCCGCATATTCCAAAATTCGAAATGATACCTTTCGAACTCTAGCCACCGATCCTCTTTTTCGACGTCGAGTCAGTGAAGCAAGCTTAATCCGACTTTTAAATGCAGTAGCATGGAGATTACACGATGCGAAAGAGGCGCGAGCAGAATACCGAAATATACAGAATAGGCAGATTATGGAGGCGGCTATTCAAGGTTCTCCGGAACGAGGCCCATCATCACCCAGTATGAGATCTAGAGCTCGTGCTCTGACTTTAACAACGGAAGGTTCTGATGTCGGGGCTGGGGAACCGGGTACATATGTTCAAGGCATGAATGTACTCGCTGCACCCTTTCTCTATGCTGCTCGTAGCGAATCTGAAGCATTTGCTGCTTTTCATCGCTTCATAACAACCGAAGTTCCTGGTTATGTGAGAGGTGCTATGGATGGTGTTCATAAAGGACTCGCATTAGTGGATAAAGTTCTAGCTATTGTTGATCCAAAATTGAGTCTGTATCTGATTGGAAAGGGTATGAGTGCAGAAATTTATGCTTTCCCTTCAGTACTCACTCTATGCGCATGTACCCCTCCATTACCCGAGGTACTTCGTCTTTGGGATTTCTTATTTGCTTATGGTGCTCACCTCAATATTCTTTGTATTGTGGCACAACTTGTTATTCTCAGGCATTCAATAATGAGTTCTCCTAGGTAAGTTCTGGGTTTTGCTTCTACTAGACATGAATTCAACTAACAAAAATCAAAGTCCTACAAAGATTCTCAGATCTTTCCCTCCTTTACAAGCGGATACCATTAAAGAAGTTACACTTACTATCATCAAGAAAATTCCGGATGATGTTTATGCGGAAATCGTTTCGCATGCTAAATGATTTATTCACATGCATGGCTGGCGGCGTTGTACATTGCATTGGATGACAAAAGTGAAAGTTTGAGATGAGCTGAATGATTGCTATATGTACGAATGATATCATGATATAGCTATGTTTTGAGAAGCAAATGATCAATTGGTTGGATTGGATTGCATGAGGCTGGTTTGGGGTTGCTCGGTCTAGGGGGTTCTGGGTTGGATGAATGGGTACGAATATAAATACGGATATGAATTAATGATATTGGAGGGGAAGTAATTTTCTCAAGTATATCAAGCTTGAGTGTAATATGTTTAATTGTATACCTACCTCTGTTTGAAATTTTATTGATGGGGTGATCTTCGTTTTTCTCCTATTTGAAACCCTGTCCCTGGTGGCTATGCGAATGTACAATGTAGCTTCTTCAAAACTCATCCTCCTTCCCTTACCCAATAACTCATATTCGACTTTGAGATTTCCAGAGTGGAAGATTGAGTGAGTGATATTGAATATGGATATTGAATATGGGAGGATGTGTTGAATTGTATGAACTGCATTATTATGCAGAGAAATGTGTTCATCCGCATCACATACTCATGCATTTTTAAATGCTACATGGAACTGATATATATAAGTCAGCCATCTCCTCTCTCGACTCTGCAATACTTTTCTCATATTCCTCTTCTCACAATCCCATCCCATCCCATCTTATCGTCTCCAGAAGACCAGAAGCAAAAAAGAAGAACAATGCAAACAAACTCACCATGTCAGCCCCACTCGTCCCCTTTCTCAAAAACCCTATACTGTCCGCAAATTCCTTCGTCTCTCTAAATGCCTAAGTTTCAAATCTCACATTAGCCCCAAAATTCTTCCATCTCCCTCCCCATCTATAGACTCCCACCGGTGTATCAAAATCGGCCTCAATTTTCCAAGACCAGGAAAGGAAACAATAAAGCAACAAATGAATACCCACCATATGAGCCTCCTTACTCTCCCACCCTAACATTATAATCAAAGCTCTCCCCTTTTCTTCCTCCATCGCCTCTTTATTCTTAGCGATCTTCTCAATTACCTCTCCCGAATCTATCACGCCAAGAAATCCTGCAATTTTTTTTTCTGAGTGAAGTTTGCGGATTGCTGTTTTGAAGTTTTCTACTCCCTGTTTGCTTTTCTTAGTCCTCTACTTGATCTACTTCTCATTCTCTCATTCTCTCATCCTCGCTCTTCTTTCAATTTGTCGAAAATTGGATTTAGATTTGGATGGAGACAACAAATGTTACATGTAACAAAAAACACCACATACCTCAAGAAAAACATCCTCCACATTAAAAAACGTAGCGACTTCCATGACACCCCCCTTCTGCCCCGCACTTCCTTTTGCAATAGCGTCCACGACATCCAATTTACTTGCGTGTATGATTTCCACACTTCCCATAATCGGCTGCAGATTTTCTAAAAAGGCGGGGTAGGCTGGCGAATCCATAAAGGCTTTGTGGGGAGCGAGGGATGTCCAGTCTTTGGATTGGGGGTTAGTATAGATATATGTATATAGATTTGGACGTGTGTACGAAGATTATGGGAAATTCGAGTGGAAGGGATAGATATGCAGAAAATGAAGAGCAAACAGCAAGTGAAAGGAAAATTCCCAACACAGTTAAAATCAGTAAAAGAATCAATAATAGGGGGAGTCAAACCAATACACCAAATCAACACTCCATCATCCTCCAATGTACCGCCATAGTAAGAATTTGTACATCCTTTTTGGGCCGCAATTGTATCTAGAGTTTCACGCCCTATATTGATTATATCTGATTAGTCTTGTTCTTTGAACTCCATCCGTCCGTCCTTCCATTCGCCCCTTCATCCATCTATCCGTTCCATCAAGCCGAATTCAAACTGTGAAAAGTGTGAATCCAAGAAAGCCCGCAGACTCAATTGTTTCCCCTCCTATCTTTATCCCTATTCCTCTCATTCCAAACCGGATTCAACACACTCGTGATCACTCATCTCTCATACTTAGATCCACCCCCATCCACAACCAGCTGTGCAGGTATTTCATCCCCAATACCATCCCCAACTCCAACCCCCACCCCAAGCAAAAGAAAAGACACTTACAAATCCTCGCCGCCTCTTCCGCCTCTTCCGCTTCTCCCTCCCCCTCCCCTTCCAAATCCCCTCCCCCTATCTCCCCTCTCAACCCAATCCTCACCATTTCCGTGACCGGCCCATCAAACTCAGGCCCACTAACCACCGACCGCATAGCCATTTCGACACTACTTCCTTATTCCCTAACTTACGTATCTACAATTGAACCTGCTATATCCCCAACACGTTTATCCACAAACCCTCTCGTACTCGTCTGTATGTATATCCCAGGTCGTCCAAGTCGTCCAGGTAATCCAAGTGAAGACAAAGTATCGGAATCGAAATCGAACCCGAAATAGAAATCAGGAATAAGGACAGAATTTTGTACTCAATATATCTATACCAGGAGTTATACGATAGATAACAAATGATAAATAGCTATAGTGAGAGACGAACCACCAACTAACATAGGTATTTGAAGTCTTCCCTTACCTAGCCTAGGTACCTACCTAGGTACTTGCTTACCCCACCCAACACGAACACGGCACTTATGATGTCAGCCAGCAGCTCAGATCACATAAACTCCTAAACTTTGATTTCCAAACTCACTCACTATCTCCTAAAGCTTCACAGTAGCTCCCACAAATCAACATCTTATTGTCAAATCATCAAGTCGATGGATGCTATTGCATACGGCAAAATATCACACACGAGTTCACTAAACTAAATACAACACAGCACAGCACACAATTAGTAATCCAAACATCACCAAATCACAAATCCATCCCCAGCTATGTATAAATCATCATCATTCCATCTCACCTGACCTCACCTCAATTTCAAATGCGTCTCCAATCCCACAAATACAATCAAAAGAACCTCAAATCATAAAATAACAATTTTTCACAATTCATATCACCTTAGCCTATCATGCATCATGCATCGTGATTTTCCTTGCATACCAATTTTCCCTATTAGCATCTCTCCCATCATTCTCGTTTCCATGCACTTGATTTCCCATACCAATCGCGGGTCAGATTCCCATCAATCAATCAATCAGGATCTCATTCTCCCGTCATTAACTTTCTTTTATCAATTGCCTAGAGAGATCTTTTCACTCCTAAGGGAAATATACGCCATGAAAAAGCAAGCAAGCCACCATTCCGCCAACCAGGCCACTAACATCCATAAAAAGATTCATTTCTGATTGTTAATAACACATATTGCCAAAGGAATTCCTTTCCCTTGCCCATATCTAAACCTTTCCATATATCAATTTAAATTTAGCTTGAAGCTCTGTGACGTTCACTCTCTAGCCTTGAGTAGAGCATGTATCTATTCATGTATTAGTAATATGAAAATAAGGTTGAAAAAAGAGGAAACTTACAAAGCCATCTGATTACACTCTGCTGTTCCTGTAATTGTAACCAGTCTCTCATTTGAATTATCTTGAGGCTCATTGATCTTAATGACACTACCACTGAGTTGTCTGATTTCATTAATCTTGGCACCACCTTTACCAATTATAGCTCCAACCATATCATTTGGAATGAAGATTTGTTGTGTTAAGGGTTGACCCGGGATAGCACCTGGCATAGGTTGACCTTGTGGGCCAGTAGCACCATGTGGTTGAGGAACAGCGTGGCCAGCTTGTGGTTGTTGTGGACCCACTCCACCATACCCGCCAACGGCTGGAGAAGCGTGTCCACCGTAATGTGCAGCAGCAGCTGGCTGTTGGTGAGGTGCTTGCCCTTGACCGTATGGTTGGGCATAGCTGTTTCCAGGAGTATGGTGAGATCCACGGTCAGAACGACGATGGTTGTCAGGGTGACCATAGTTTCCACCAGCTGGTTGTGGAACATATGGAACAACCTGCATACCACCTGGGACCACACCTGCAGGTCCACCGCTTCTTGATGCATAGGCAGATGCAGCGGGACCGCCAAATCTCTCTGTCAATTGTTCAAACAATGTGCTTCCCACATAATAGGTTGCAATGTGGACGGCATCTGCGACGCCAAGAACAACAAGTGATCTCTCGGTTGAAAGTGGAAGGTACGAATCGGAAGCATTCAAACGAGCCCCTGAAGCTTCTTGGATCTCTTTGATCCGAACACCACCTTTACCAATTATAGAACCAATCAAAATATGTGGAATAAGAAGGCGAAGAGGGTATGTCTTCGAGGTTGAGTCCGAAGGAGCTTCGAGAGGTTCATTGTTCAATGTTCGAATTATCAAACCAAATGCCTACAAATAATTAGTCATATTTCTCCAAATGTCAAAACGGGCAAACGTACCTTAGCTACTGCATCAACAACACCACTGACAGTCAAAATTCTTTCCACTGCTCCCTTTTGATAATCGCTGACTGTACATTTTGCACCAGAAAGCTTTCGGACCAAGGAAACATTTTCCCCTCCCTTGCCAATGACGGTAGCAGCTTCGGCACTTGTAATAACGGATCGAACGTGTATCCATCCACTTTCGTCGTGTGGGAGAGCATTTCCAGAGGAAGTGCCTTCGGTTTTAGTAGGAACCGTTGTTTGGATTGGTTGTGTTGCTTCAGTAGTAGGAGCGTCAACGACCTCGGTATCTCCCTGAGCATCCTTTACTTCTTCTTTTATTCCATTGGCTTCATCAGGTTTCGCATCTCCATTTGGATTGGTGAGGACTGGGAGCTCAGTTTCAATGACAGATGGTTTCTTTTCTGAATCATCTTCACCCTTTACAATCTTATCTAAAGCAGGACGCTTGGCATCTGGTTGATCGCTTGGTGCAGAAGGGGATGATGGGTCCTCGAGAGGACGTTTTGTGGATTGTGTAGGAGCTGTTGTAGGTGAGGCCGACATTTTCGTTTGCTATTTGGTTAATCTCTTCTCTTGTATTTGTTTCACTTTGAGTTGAATAGTGATCGGAACGGGATTGGAAGATAAGTCAAATGACTATTTGGATTGATCGCTGTTTTATGTACACCAGAAGAGTCTTCGAAGGAAAACGTGCTGGTGTTGGGGTCGGAGGAAGCAGGGAATGGAGCGTGTGCTTTGACGGGGACTGCGAATAAGAGAAGATGTGTCGATAGGGGAGGAAGCAGATGTGGTGTAAAACAACAACTTGTAATAGATCTGCAAACTCTGGAAAGGGATTTTCTTGGAAGTTGGAAGGAGGGCGAGTAGTTTCTGTGATTGTGATGGATGTGAGGGCTTTGGAGGTGAAGATAACTGATTTTGAAGAATCCTCTTATTTTTGGGGAAGAAAAAAGCAGTATTAGGGACCTATCCTCAAACCTTAAGCTTTTCCACCAACGATTCCAAGTTATCGTTGTCTTAATGCTTTTTTTTTTAAAGTACTGGTTTGCGTTCCCAGTTTTCAATTCCGATGATTGTTTAGTTTGCTGCGTGTTGATCGGAAGTTGCAGGAGACGGAAATGGTGATGGAGATGGAGAAGCGACAAAGAGTAGATGGAGGTGAAATTCGAAGAGGTTGAAAATCGCGTAGATCTTTATTTCCCGAGGATGGTGGTTTACGTAGATAGCTTGAGCGACTTAATTGAAGAAGTCGTTCTGATGATGAAGAGGATGATATTTCAATGAAGAAAAGGAAGGGGAAGGAGAAGATGATGTCTTTAAAATACCTAGGTAGATAATTCAAAAGAAAGTAGCAAGCAAGAAAGAACCTTACGCGGTACTGGGGCGGTAGATCTGATGCGAGGGAAGCTCCACTAGCGTAAAAAAGTTGTGCTGCTTGGTCTGAGGCCTTTTTGGTGAGGAGGTCTCACGTGGGTACCTTAGGTAGGTAGGTATGAATGAATGCTTGCACAAAAAAATATGTATTTATGTATTTATGCCTGAGGTTCAATTTTGATATTTTCAAGGTTCCAAGGTTACCTACCTCTACCCAGGTATGTATATCAATCAACCTTACATCAACTTCATACGTAGCAGAATTTATAGTAATGCGGCAGTAACTTCACCTCATTCATAAAATTGCAAGAAACAATACAATTTGATATTCAGCTGGTTTACGAGTCAAGACTTCAATCTATTAACCAAGTAATACTTCACTCCTGCATCTTTGACATAATTCAATTACCCTTTTCGGCCCGCTCCTTTTCTTCAAAATAGAAACTGGTCTGCTTGTCACGTCTTAATATATCCGTGCACATATAAAATCAAAGCAATGCACGTGTTTTTTGGCTGTCAAATCGAAACACGCTACATTTCAATCTCTGCTCCTTGTCTCAAGTTGCTGTCGATCGAGAATTGAATGAGATAGTTCAAATGACCAATTAAGACAAGGTCAATAACTTGTCAAGATTCAAACTCACCACCCTTTACCCACTCCATTTACCATGGATATCGATCAAGACCCTCCTCGAATCTCCGCTGCATATACAACGCGTCTCGACCAAACTCTCCAAGATCTTCAAGATCGAGTCAAGGAGCAAGAAGCCGCACTTGCAAAGGTGAGTTTCCACTCCCTACCATATCGAGTTTCTAAAAATCTCCAGCTAATCATCCACCTTAGCTCCGAGCAAAAACCTCAATCCACATATCTTCCGGCCCATCACCAGACCCCAAAACCCACCTCCACCAACTCCGTGCTCTGAAACACGCCTACGATACCCTCTCCACCACATCCCCCTACCTCCCACCTCCCAAATCCGTCCTTCCCGCTCTCCTCGCCCACCGCACCACCACATCCTGCATCCAAGAAACCCAAGAATGCATAACCACCAGCTCACATGACCTCTCCACCACCACCATGCTCCTCCAAAAGGAAAAATCCGACCACCAAGATGTCCTCTCCATCCAGTCCGCGCTCCAATCGCGCATTTCCGCCCTCACAACCCAACTCACGCAACAAACGCAGAAATCCCCCTCCCAAATCTTTTCCGAGTTGCAATCCTCCTTCCAAACAGGCAAAACACACTACGACACCGAAACCGGCAATCTAATCCGCGCATTCAATTCCTTCATTGATGCATACCTCGCATCCATGCTCGCCGCCGAAGAACTCGGCGGCCCCATCGTAGGGGAAATGCTCTCCATCACTCCACAAACCCTCATCGCCGGTTTTAGCACGCAGGGAAAACCCAAAAAGCCAAAGGAAAACCCGAACATGGATAAACGCCAGCGTCGCATCGATGAAATCTGGGGTCCCAAACCTCCTCTCGACCAAGATGACGACGAGGAAGAAGAAGAAGAATGGGACGAAACACGTGCCGCCGCAGCTGAAATGCGTGAATTGGCCGAACAGCTGTTGAACGGATTATTAGAAGCCGATGAGAATGGCTCGGATGGATATGTCACGCTCGAGAGAGATAGTGCAGCGGCGAGATTCTTGGTCAGAAGCAAAGTTGCGCAGTATCATTTCAAGGATGCGAGGAAATTGAAGCTGATCGATTTCGAAAAGGATATTGTTTGAATGGTTATCTTTCTAGTAGTATAGATACCCATCCTTATTTAGATTACTAAATTACTACCTCACCTCGCCAATCTCATACCTACCTACTTACGTAGGTATCTACCCTTCGATCATGATAGATAATCTATTCTATTCTATCATATTCCCTCTCGCTTCTCACGTCTTACTTCTCACTTCTCACATCCCGCCTATGGCCTCTCGCCTCTCAAAACCAACAACAAATGGTCAGAAAAATGAATGAAGAGATGAATGAATAGATGAATAGATAGATGAATAGATAGATGAATAATTAAGTAGATAGAAGTTTGATAAGAAAGAGTTGTCCATTCGTAGGATCTGATAAATCACTTTTGATGATTAAGATACACATTTCTACTAGTTTGATAGTATTAGTTCACAGCAACATTAAGAAGTACTGAGTGGAATTGTTTGATATCTATCTAAAACCAGACCTTGATATACTTCTTCTTATCTCTTCTTATCCATCAAGAGCACTAACTGTAATAAACCAAAATGGGTATCTGTATTTAACTCCACTCTAACTTCCCATACTCCATATTCATTATTTGTATTTCATATCATCGTAGAGACATTTACCTCTCAATTTTGCTCCGAGCCCATCACTCCCTTTCTTCTAGTTCTTCTACTTCATCCCCTCAAATTCATAAAACTCTACTGTTTCTCCTGGACACCAAAACTTTTCCACATACGTGGAAGAAGATCTCTATCTCTGTAGTCCGAGTAAATCAGCTCTCTACATTTCTCAGTGTTGGTATCCCACTTCAACTTATCCACGTCAAAAGCTGCATCCCATTCTCGAATTAATTTCTGGACCTCCGCTTTGTGTTTTTGAACGCAGCTTTCGTGATCAGAAGATGATTTGTCCGCTGTAGCTGATTGTATATTTTGAAGACCGCGTACTGCTGATAACCAAAAATTGAAAGGCTCTATACAAGTATTGGCATATTGGTTGTGGAAAGCCGAACCACGGTCATTCAAGATCCTATAAACTTGATTCTCGCCAGTCTTGTCCGCGCCAATCAGCAGTTTGATTTCGCTTTTTGGCGCTCCATATATCGTATCGAGAAGGATGTCAAAATAGTCGGGATATGTATCTGCTAGCTTCATCACTGTTGCTAAATCAGTTAGATGTGCCGATTGATTTCGTCTCTTTCTGATGTTTTCCATCCACGATGGCACAGATATCTTCTGCCTGGTGCTCTCCATGATACACGCCATCTTCCACAGTTTCTTTCTCATATTGATTGTCTCTCCCTCATATCTTGACGCCTTCTCTGTTTCCAATCTCTCTGTCTTCAGAAGACAGAGATTCAAGTCTCTTCTCAACTCTTCTGAGTTTCTTTTTGACTCTTGTGAGTCTCTTTTTGACTCTTCTGAGTCTCTTTTTGACTTCTCAATATCTGCTTTCATGCTGTTTATTTTTTCTTCGAATGTGAGGTTCTTTTTCTCGTAAAGGATGGGATTGTTTGTGATTATCTTCTCGTGTGTGATGGTATCTCTGTGCTCAACCAATTCCATCATATCTATTTGTTCCTTGACCTTTGGGTTGATCGATTCAAAACGACCCTTTCCAAATAGTCCGAGGTCTTCGTGGCCGAGAGGAATGCTTCCTAGGAGATGATAGTTTACATCTGTTTGATCCTACAACTATTGTTAGCGAAGTACAACTTGTGTGATTATACAGCAAAGTTGATCTTTGCTGAATATAGAATTCGAGGGGTTTGTGCTAAGTGAGTATCAAAGATTTTCATTGGAGAATCATAGAGAGGTACCAACATGTTTAAGATTGGATCGTCTTTGTGTATTGTGGAAACCATTGAAAAGTGGTCTACAACTGATGACTGATTTGTTGAAGAGTGCACCCGAGATGGATGAACTCCAAAGATTTTTTCGGATCATCCTTTTGATACAGGAATGAGGAAAGCACTGGTCTAGAATGTATAATCTAGAAACAGAGGGTGACGATGAGGCAGTGGTGTTTTTGGAATACTGGTGATGGTAATGGTAATAGTAATAAGTGTAAGTGATCCTGATGAAATATTCAAGTTCTTTATTTGGAAGGTAAAGGTTGATCTAGACCCTTCAAAACTCTCGAGCCATCCATGAGGCTGAGCCTTTAGCCGACAAGCACGCTAGGGAGGTACTGTATCTTATCAAACTACCTACCTAGGCTCGCTAGGTACTCATCAAACCGTAGTAAACAAAGCTGCGTATATTATGCAAGTCCCCTCTTATTATCGACCTATAAGAAACATTTATTAACAGCCCTCCAAAAATTGGGTATATGTAAAGAAACTGTATCCTGCATGAACCTTTCACTGATGGCAAGATACATGTCAACTTTCAGATCTATTGGTTTGCTCTAATATCTGGGTAAAGGACGGAATGTACGTCAAGGAGTCTCTTTATCAATACGACAAGACAAGCGTTGATGCAAGATTGTTGATAACGAAATGGATGTCACCTTCGGGATTTATCTGTCTCCAGCTTCAGATTGGATAATATATCCGATGGTATTGCATGATAATTGGAGAAGAAGTTCTCTACAAGCTTGTCTGTGTTTTATTCTGATTCTAGTACTAGATTTGAGCATCCTGTCTTCTCGCTCTCGATACATATACATACCTCAGGGGTGTGGGATCCCCTCGTGTTCTTTTATTTTGTCCTCGTCGCTTTATTAGGATTCTGATTCTATATAAGTACCATCTCCTCGTTTGTACTGATCGAGCATATACTCCAGGCCCTTGATGATATTTAGACTAGCTATATTTTGGGCACCTTATACTCTTCATCATAATATTTCAAGTGTTTGTACGTTACACATCTTGTATTTAGATGTACTTCCTCTAGTACTTCCAGGACTTCTGGTGTAAAGCGAAAATACAGCTATGTTAATAACAATGCCTTTCCAATCATTGGCTCGAAATATTCTATCAGAGTACTAGATATTGCTTCCAGTAACATTGAATCAAACTTCTGAGGTTGATTATGTGTGGCTGAAACCTTTCGGATGTGTAACTAGTCGAATTAAGAATGAGTCGATAGACGCAATAATTCTTTTGGAACTGCAAAATAACATCTCCATTGGGCATCAAACCCCGTAATAAATTCTGATGTATCATGGATTTTATAAAGAACGAAGAGTCACAACATCACAACAATCTAGTGGTAGAGATCTACACACATGTATTTCCAAATTCGGTTCCTTGAAATGACGTCAAACTGGCTCGGCAATCTAATCCCAATCGGTGAGATGAGATGTGCAACAAATCCATCCAGAACCAAGCCTAAGCTCCCGAAACTCCCTACCCAGCCTCGAGCTAGCCTAGATACCGGTAGGTTTGCAGTCGAGAAAGTAGCAGAAAGAACATACATATTTGAAAGTGGATTAATAAATGCAATTCAATTCTTGCCCTCAAATCTAACAAAGAACGCCCAAAATCTTTGCATGACTTCACAATCCATATATACTAAGGCAGAGTTCTCTGCGAGTACTAAACTGCCTTGATTCTCGCCAATGATCTTAATCTTCCTGGATCCATGATAGTTGTAGCCTATATCAGCCAGCTGCCCTAAGAACTGACTAATCCATGATGCCTCCATGGCAGCTTTGCACAAACCGTAGTACTCTGACACAGTGAATCTCAACCTTCATGCCAGGTTTGTAACACCATGTTGTGTTTTCATTCGTTTGTCCATAAGTCGAACTGCCTTCTTTGCACCTCCTTTTCCTCGTGTGTAAATATTGTGCGCTTACGAATGTCTTCGCCTGTAAATAATATCACATATTTGTAATTATCGAAATCTGTTGGGTGAATGTTGATGATGTAAACATTTATATATTCGAAAGGGTGTGTTGTGTGATTATTGATTGTCTTTCTCTTTGTTTGATGGGATTCCAGCTCGTATGGTTCGCAGATCTCAGGCTCCTCCTTACAGCAATCTGCCAAATCCTTTTCAGGAAGACATCTAATAAGATTTTGTATCTTTTTAATATTCCTAGACGAAAAATAACCGAATAAATGATACTAAGCCTTCATTGGCTCTGTAGTTGTAATTGTTACATATGGGATGGCGTGGAAATATAATCTATATCTTTAATACGTCTTGCATTTGAGTGAAAAGACTGTGACCAATTTGGAACAGAATATCTTTGTTCTTATTGTATGCAAAGCTTGTATTGTTATTATCATCCTCGCTTAATTAGATGTACCAACTGCTTTTTTAGAATTTAGAATCAAAGTACAACTTGATAAAAAGATCAGCGAAATGAAGAATTTCAAGTAGTAGTATAACAGGGTTAACCGAGTCGTTTAACGGTATACATTCCAACACAACGGATCTCATTCCAATAAGTACGATCAGCTCATTTGTAGATATAAGTATAAGACCATTTGCTTATCTAGAAGACAATATTTAATGAGTCATAAAATCGTCTTTGTCTACATATAGTGTGCCTATGCACCTGTATTGTAGAATCATGTACAGCGTTGACGAAGATACCAAACCCCTCTTCGTGCCGCGATCTTCTCATCAGTTACAGCGGTTGAATTTTGAGTTGTAGATGTAATATTTCCAAGTGCTGTTCATATGTGTATTATAGAATCCCTCGCGACAATGGCGACGATTATATCTCCACAACGGTGATCGAAATCTTGGGGTTACATCGATCAGGTGATGGACGGTGTAACGGATATCAATGTTGACGTGGAAGATTATAAAGTGTGAAGTGTGAAAGCACTACTTACTATTCCAAGACAATCAAATCTCATCACAGGCTTCTTATATTATCAACACAAAATGTCGCTAGGAAATCAAGTAGTCTATTAAAAAGATAATGAACTCGAAGTATTGGAAAGGCAAAAGTAAGAGCTAGATATAAAGATTAAAAGATATAAACAGAGACAAGCTGTCAAAATATACAAACGAAAATCTGGAGCAAAACAGAGTAAAGAGAAAAGATTGGAAATTAATCGAAAACAATGATATACTCGCCTCATCCAAAAAGCCCCCAAAAAGTTCCTCAATGCCCCACAATTATCAGACGATGCGATCAAATGTTTACGCAGAAGATTTGAGAGTCGAATAATAGAGTTGGATACATATCAAACACGAATAGCGAAAGTTGGCCTTGATATATTGGATTGAGGTACAATTATAAGAGGTTCTACATCGAACAAACAAGATGAAGTAGCCCTTTTTTTGAATCCTGATACTTTTGCTGTATGGTTGAACAACAATGATATAAACTCCTTGAGAACAATCGTTCTGAGGGGTTTTAGTTTATATGAATTCCCAAATCGCGAAAACTTCCGGTAAAGACTTTCAGTTCTGACTACGACAGATCAGAAAGAGATCAAGATCGATGTCCAAGTTACAGACCCCGAAGGACATCTAATAACGAAGCCACTATAATGGGAGATTGTAAAACAGCTCTATCAGAAAAGTATAGTCGATGAAGCAGCAGAACTCATAAATATGCCGAATTTGTCGACTCCAATTCATGACGTAATTCGATTACCATCAAAGATCCAGTCTCGCATGGGCTTTCTCTCTGAAGTTATCGATCTAGCAGATCTTAAGAGACGGGGGAGCAATGTGATGGAATACCATGCGGACATTGAATGCGATCTCAACTTTACGATCCACGCTTCGCCGGGCTCAATATCGGCATGACATATGGAAAGAATGGGTTACATAAGTATTTTTTTGATGCAAGGCAATCCAGGGGATTACAAATTGTGGTCAATTGCAGAAATTGGACATCTGAGCCCGGAAAGGCAGAAGGCTATTTGGGAAGACTTTGGTCGGTCAGGAGCAGGATGGCAGCCGCCGTCAGATGTAAAGATCATGGTATATGAGCTGCAACCGAATGATGCTATACTCATGATGCCAGGAACTATACATGCTCCCATGACTCCTACGCTTTGTCTGCTATCCGGAATGATATGTTATCACGAGAAGCTATTGGCTCGATCGTTTGAGGTGATAGATTTCCTGAATCGCTATCCGGATGCTACAAATGAGGATCTACCTATACAATATCTAGAGATTATTCCTATTATATTGAGTTTGGTTAAAAAAGAACCTGAAATATACAGAATTTCGGATCTCAATGACTTCAAACGAATCTGTTCCGAAACTATTGCTCGGATTAGGAAGCATTCGAAACATTAGATTGAAATCTAGTGGGAATTTGAAGTGAGTTGGCGTGGAAAGCTGCGAAGTCCTTCCCCCAACCCAATCCAGATCTTCCCCTCCTCTCCTCTCCTCTCCTCTCCCAGACCCCAAAATTCATCATTTCCGAAAAAAAAAAAGGTATCCTTGATTTCGCGAGGAACTCCACCCACGCCAGACACTCGGATTTTGAGCTGAACAATATGAGCCTTCGGAAGCAAAAGCAATAGAGTAGGATCTACAGGAGACGTCGGTAGATATACCGTATGCGGCTTCGATATAAAAACATTGTCAACATCGTCAACATCGGTGCTTTTATATGGTGTTTCGGGGTGGGGGAAAGCATACCGAGGGAAAAGTACACAGCAGAATGTACACGACATCGACTACTATCTAATAATTCGAATGATAAAACAAAAGCGAAATTTGAATTCAATAAGAAATTCTTGAAAATATTAGGTAATCTATTAACAACAAGTCTGAAGAAGTAATATTCAATGAAATCAGCCTCACGCTAACGTTCGACACATATGTATATACATACATATATACGATATATAAATGGTACACAGTACACAGAACACACACAAGATCCATACATCTGGACTACACTAAACTACACTACACCCACTACACCCACTCCACCGACCCCCCTTCACCCCATCCACTCTATCCAGCGATCCCTCCAGCCCCCTCCTATTTTCAAATTTTCCTCCTTTCAAACCATCCATTGAGAGGAATCCCAAACCTAACCTGAACGCCTAGCCCGCCCATATAATGAATCAGACTACTAGAAGTGGTATGTGCAACAAACGCCTTACATGAAACGAAACACGAACGAGTAAAGCAGAATCATTAATGTACCAACAGTCCCCTTTTCCCTAGGTATTTTCACTTTTCTCCGCCGTGAAGAAGCAGAAAAAAAGACAGACACAAGAAATGCTTAAAAGAAGATGAAGAAGATGAAGAAGAAGAAGAAGAAGAAGAAGAAGAAAGAAGAAAAAAAAAAACTCAAAGAAAACCCCTCAAATATTTATCTTGCCTCCATGGAAGCCTTTCCCTAAATATCAACAGTATCCATACCAAGCTCCACTAGCACTTCATATCTTTCCATGAATCTCACTTAGTCCTCCCGAAAATATGTCTCTTATGACCCTCCTTTCCACCCTTTTTTCCATTTGGCGAACCACTGACATCGTCCTTTCCATCATCATTGTATTTGGATTTGTAGATCCTGTTTTGCGTTAGACATGTTCAATATTTGATCAACTTTAAGTCCAATATCTTTGTGCTTGCACCCGCAGATATCGCATTTTAGATGTGGAGGAGAAGAAACATACCAACTATTCCCAATCATACTAATCCCCTTACTTTCCGCTGCCCGATAAAATTTGGCACTCTTCTTAAGGTCCTTTTTACACCCCACTCCCTGCGCGTAACAAAATCCCGCCTCAGCTAAAGCATCGCCATCACCCCAAGCTATTCAAAATATTAGTACCTTGTCTCAAATTCTCCTTGCACCACCTCAAAACCGGGATAAAACTCACATCCAGCAATCTCAAAGCATCTCAAAGCGAGGACTTTGTCCTGTTCAATACCCCAACCATTCATATGACTGACTCCCAATTCATAAATACTCAGCGCAAATTGGGCCTTTCTAGTTTTCCTTTCCAAAACATCGACGGCTTTTCCATCCTTTGCCGTATCCTCATCATCAGCAACCTCAAGGCTAGCCGAATCCGCAGCTTTTCTCAACCAAGCTACACCTTCTCTCTGATTAGGTCGCATACCCCAACCATGTCTACAAGCGAGTGCATAGAGAAGCATACCCGTAGGGTGATTCTGCCTGGCTGCAAGACGTAGATGATAGGTCGATTTGGTAAGAGAACCAGCTTCATGATACTCGATAGCTTTCGCAACATGTTCTTCTCCAGACATTTCAGCCGATGGAGCCAGTGAATGTTGCGATCGAGCTTTTATTGTAGTATTTGAAGAGGCAATTGATGGTGCGCGGTTGTCCTTGTGCGCTTTATCTTTATGTAAGGTAGGGGGTGCGTCGAATGGTGATGGAAGATGACTAGGATCTGTTAAACTTCTTCCTCTCTCGGCCAATGTTGTGGGTTCCGAGCCTTGCTCTAGGGAAGGACGTAACTGTGAGATATCCGGTCTGGAAGAAGTCGATGGTCGAGATGGAGGTGATGGCGGAGGTCCACCTTCAATCGGTTGATTATTGCCCAGGAATGCAGGGGGTTGTTGCTCAAAGACGAATTGAGCTTGTGGTTGACCTTCTTGAAAAATTGCCGAATTTCTTTGTAACATCTTGCCTCTAGGTAAATTAAACGTCGAGTATACATAAGATGGTGCAGCTCCCTCACTAAGAAGGTTGTGATCCGGAAATCCTTCACTATGCATACTCACAGGAGTATGAGCAGTATCGTCCGTAAGAATAAATGAGGGCTGGCTGTCAGAAGATGCCTGTCGGGAAGGTATTGTTGGTTTGTCTTCCATTGGGTGATTACTAGATCTACTAATTGGCCGAGAGAAGTTGAATGCAGGTCTGGGTAGGTGTGTATGGTCTACAGAATAGTCGGAGCTCACAGATGGAGATCGTGGTACTGAGGAGTTGAAAGAAGGTGAGTTTGGTGTACTCGACATGGCACTTGTTGAAGATAGTTTGCGTTGAGGAGAGTCGTGGGATAGTGAGTGGTCATCATCTGAGCTCTCCATTGACATAGATCTGGAACTAGGAGCTCTTTGCGCGAATGGTGCTCGTGGTGGTGCCAAAGCTCTTGGACCATAACCGCCTACAGCTAACGAGCCGTCGGGGCCTCTAAGTGCTCGCTGGCGCATCGATTCTTGGCTAGGTCGAGATGGGGCATCGGAGGGAGATCGGCCGGGTCTGGGTGAACGTGGCCCTCTATATGGACCGTCTGAAGGAGATCGACCTGGCCTACCCATACGTTGCTGAGGAGCAGAGGGCGAACGTTCAGGCCTAAGTGCTCGATCATTGTGAGGGCCAGATGGTGAACGACCCGGTCTAGGTGATCTTCCAGGCCCATTTTGGGGAGCAGAAGGAGAACGCTCTGGTCTAAGATTGTTACGCCCCTGATGTGGAGCTGAAGGCGAACGAGATGGCTGCGGAGACAAACGTCCCCGATACGGGGCATCAGATGGTGACCTTCCAGGTCTGTGTTGAAGTTGACGAGGATCTTGATCCATGGGCGCTGGCGAAAGATCCCTCCTAGCTCCAAACATGCTCTGTGGTTCCTTCGGAGTCGGACTTGGGGGCGGTCTTCTGCCTCGAAATCCTTCTTCCTTCTCTGGAATTACATCGAATGCTGGAGTATCTGGAATCTTTCCCACCTCAGGATGCACCGAAATTGGCCTAAACATGGGTGCCTCGACCTCTGTTAATTGTTGTCCCGGGCCAGCAGAAGCAGGTGATTCTGTAGGAGACAATTGGGCCAGAGGAGAATCTGCAAGTCTTTCGGCAGAGGCAGATCGTAAACTTCCGAGTCGAGATTGGCCGAGAGAGTTCGCGATTGTCAGTGGTGGCAGACGACTTATGCGCTTTCCTCCATTCGTACTTTCGTTCAACTGTCTGGCCAAGAGTCGACTTTGCGCCGCGAATGCATCCAAGGGTGAAAGTTCGGGTGGAATATCTCCAGCTACGTGTAAACGGGGAGAAGGTAATGAGCGCAGTGACGGGGATGGTAACCCATTACTGCTACTACCCATTGCCCCATACGATTGTGACCGGAGGTCAATGAAATTGGGTCTGCTAGCCATATCGCCGGTTGGTGGATGACTTCCTATGTCCAAATTGTTCTATCCTTCCCATGAGTTTGTAGATAATTTCCAGAAATCTTGTGTTGTATTTTGTAATCAATGTGCGATCCTTTGTTGGTATTGTATTGTTGATTCACAGTAGCGAAGACGTTGTGGCTGCAGTAGAGGTGATCAAGGGAACATCAAACGTTTGAGAGATGTTAGTGAATGAGGAGGAGGCGCAGTCAAAGTTCTCGTAAAATGTTGGGTCTGGAGCTGGTAGATGTGGATTCGAATATATGCGATAATGTAAGGAGATGGTGACGGGCCGTGTACGATAAGTTTTGGAAGTTCCAAAGAATCCAATGTTTGAGAGTCGAAAGTCGAAAGTTGAAAGTCGAAAGTTGAAAGTCGAAAGAGCGAAGTCGTTAAGAAAAAGTTCAGAAATGACAAATGGTATTGTATTGAATGGGTATGTAGGTATTGAAGTGAACCGAATTGAATTGAATTGAATTGAATTGAATCGTACCAGTAAAATGAAGGAGTGAATTAGCGTTTATGATTTGGACGTAACGCAAGTTAAAATGAATGTATTTCGAATGAGCAAATTTGAGATCTGAGATCTGAGATTGGAGATTGGAGGCTGGAGGTTGGATTGATTGATTGATTGATTGATTGATTGATTGATTGACTGAATGAATGAATGGGGATCTTGTTGTCTTTTATTATTATTGATAAACTTTTGGCGATAGTATTCAACAACGAGAGAGAGAGAGAGAAAGAGAGAGAGAGAGAGATGTTGCAGAATGAATGATTAGAATAGATACGATAATAATGTATGTAATAATTCTTTCTCGCTGCAGTTTCGAACAAGCATCATTTGTAGAATCCTCTTGCCGTTGGTAATTTCCTCTTTTTTTTTTCTTCTTTTTTTTTCTTTCTTTGGGGTTTCCCTATTATCCCCCCTCAATCTGTTGTGATCCCCGATATGCACGAAAGAATTGACCAAATAGATTGCTGGCCTTTAAGGGATATTGTATTGTGGAGTTGCCCCTTGATGAAGAAGACTTTGATGATATGTGGAAGATGCAAATAACAACATAAAAATCAAAGTTAATGGCGAATTGAGGAAAAGAAGATAGAAGAGAAAAGAGAGAAGAGGGTCCAATGATCAAACGAATCTTTCTCGTATCACGATGATTAGTCGCCGTGAGGGTAAGATATGTTCTTACTATGGCTAGAAGAGTAGATGGAATGAAAAGAAGTAGAAGAAGGTATTGGCCAGGCCATTCATAGCAACGCTTGGCAGATCATAAAAGAACAAAAGATATGTATGGATGTATGGATGTATGGATGTATGGATGTATGGATGTATGGATGTATGGATGTATGGGTGGATGGGTGGATGAACGTGTGTGACGGTAAAGAGTGAAAGGTACGAGTCGAAGGGTAGAAGATTCAAGAAGGGTGGAGGGAATACGGATAAAATGCAAGGCAAGGTAAGGAAGGTCAGGTCAGGTCAGGTCAGGTCAGGTAGGTCGAGTAAGATACTAGAAAGCCAAGCCAAGGGAAAGAGAAAGAAATTTCCCATATAGCAACAAACGGGAATCTCTCTCCTTTCCTCGACTTTTACTGGCGTTGATGTATGTAGGTGGTCATAATAATCAAATAATCACACAGTCACGATGAGAAGGAAAAATTAAAGGATATCACGAGAACGAGAAGGACGAAAAGAAAAAGAAAAAGGAAAAGAAGAAAAAAAAGAAAGCGATGCCAGGAACAGAAAGTTCACATATAAGTTATAACCTCCCTCCCATCTAGGTCTTTATATTAAATCGATCCACTTCATCTACCCGCTGTTACTTTAAAACCTAGGGAACTGTGAACTAGAAGGAGATGATGCTAATAATAAAACAAATCATCACTCTCTCCCCCCCCATCAGACATCTCATTCCGTCGTTCCCATTCGTCACATTTCCCCTAGCTGGAGGTCCATGATCCAATCATCTACTCAATTCAATATCGAATCACCTTAAATTTCTAACATGTGGAGTTGAAACTACGACTACCTACCTAGCTATCTAGTATCTACTGAGTACCATCTCCGCCACATACATAGTACACTGTACACACGCAGGGAAGAGCTATAGAGGTCTGAAGAAACTGATTTAATCATGATCATAATAAGGGGGTCACGACTGGGGAATCAATACTCACGAGGAAGCTCACGAGGAGATTCACAAGGATGACTAATGCTCACTAGGAACAATGGTAGAAAAACGCCATAGCATAGGGGTTAAAAGCTTTTTGATGTGCAGTTTCTATACCTACCTACCTAGCACGTGCCTAGGTGCATACCACACACAATAATATATCGTATCGTATCTGTACCGGAGTATTTATCTAGCGAGCTGCAGTTTTTTTTCTCTGGCACCATATCGTACATATCTCGTATTCATACCAGAGTTTTCTGATTTCATTACTTTGGTATACTTGTAACGTCCATTAGCCACCCATCTAATTCTTCACTAGAGCTTCAGATACGATATGATATGTGTCTAGACTCTGGAGCTGTAAATACGATACGATACGATGCGATATCCATCCAGAACTTCAAATACAATCACCGACTTCAAACCAATAGAATTATTCTGCCCATACCAATTGATCCGAGCTAACGAAGGCGGTATAACATAACTTATTCCATGGACCATTGTAAAACGATATGTCAGATCTTACTACCTAGGTAGTTCAATACTCCATCCATGCCAAAACTTCAAATACGATATCATCGACTATAAACCAGATATCCATAGAAACACCCATCTAATTCTTCACCACACTTCAGATACGACACCATATCTCTTATCCTATCACAACATCCCCAATCCCATTTCCATCCCTATTCATATATATCACACACATACTCCCATAAATCATCCCCATTATATCATCAATCCCATCTCATCCCATCTCATCTCACTCCGAATCTCATACCTCCTTCTCGCACTTCCCCAATTTCTATGTATAAAATTATAGATATACATTACATTACATTAATCTATTACTAGGTACATCCGTCTGTTTTCTTCTCTACTACATATACATATACCTAGTAGATACCTATATATACACACAGTATAACCTATCAACCCATCATCCATCATCCATCATCCATCAACCATCCATTTCCCCAGATTCAGGGCCCATCCTTCCATCCATCCAATCACAATCATCTCACACCAATCCCACAATCCCTGTCCTGTGCAAATATAACACAACACCAGATAACATATTATATCATTAATACCAAACCGCTCTCCTTTCCAATACTCCAATACCACAATATCACAAAACTACAAATTGAAAGTTATAACTAACAGCCTTCCCATTATCCCCCGCCCATCATGCATCATCCATTATCCATTATCCTCTTCCACCTACCTACCTACTTCCCCAACCTCAACCTCAAACCCCAGAATCTCGCACCCATAACCCTCATACTTCATATCACATCACCTCACTCCAGAACCCCGTATTAAAAGTCTACTGACTGATTGACTGACTGTCCTGACTGACTACCTACTACATAAACATAAACATAAACATAAACAGAGAGCTACCTGCTACCTATTACCTATTATCAATATACACTCACTATACACACAATTCACTATCCACTCACTTAACTCAACTCAGCTGACTATAATTAAAACCTCTCCCCTTCCCCCTTTCCACAAAAAGAGGGCGAAAGGGGGGGGAAGGGGAAGGGGAAGGGGAGGAGTGCAGAAAACAAAAACAAGAAGAAATAGAAAAATAGCAATAGAATTGAGGATTACAAATCAAATCAAATCACTGGGTAATATCTCAGAATCAATCGTTATTGCTATCATCTATCTATCTATCTATATCTATATCTATATCTATATCTAAATACACACTCTCTCTCCAATCCAATCCAATCCAATCCAATCCCAATCCACTCTACCCTTTAGATACTACCTACCTATCTATCAGACAAATAGAAACCTACCCGCACAAACAATAAAACAAATACGCATCTATCAGAAGCCATCCATCTTACCTCATCCCACTTCATCCCCCCCCATCCCCTCTCCCCATCCTGAAACCCATCAACAATATCACACCCAAACCCAACCCCAACCCAAACCCTTCCATTTCCAATATCTGATACATACCTACACATACACGCATACGCATCCATACACCACACATCCACAAACTCCACCCAAGAACCGGGTTTCTTCCCCGTCCCGTCCCGTACCTCCCCTCCCCTCCCGTACGTTTCAAAATTCAAGCCAGCCATTCATAAAACTTCACATGCATCCACAATATAATATCTCCTCAAAATCTCACAAACAATGATGGAAGAATTTTAATATTCGCTGCCTCCAAAAAAAAAAAGTAAAAAAGATAGTAATTGCCTATATTCAATGTACATAGCCTCTCTCCCATCCCTCTAAACTCCAATACCCGATGCCCAGCTCCCAAGAACGCAAAAATAGTCACAGATCTCCGACTACAGATTCTTTGATTGCATCTTTCTTAATCTAGTGGCGCCTTCATATACACCACGGTCTACGGCCGCCGCGACGGTTAATGTACCTCCGACAATTGCACAGAGACCTGTCAAGAAGCCTGCTAATGTCTTGGTTCGCTCTTCCTTATTGATGACCTTCATGGGTGAGATATCCTGGGTATAATCAGTAGCTGAGTGGATTAACATATCATGGAGAACTTACATATGAAAAGAAAACACCTGGGATTCCACCACGTGCATGTAACTTTTCCTTGTGGCCTTCAGCGGAATCATCACCACCATTGAGACTTCGGCGATGGCTAGTAACAGAGTACTGATGAGTTTCAACACTTCCGTCTTCAGAATGTCCATAAGCTCCAATATCCACGCTTGCGTCATGTGGTCTGCTATTGTAGTTGGTTTCCCAGCCAAGAGGAAGGTATGAAGTTGAAACAACCTTTACAAAGTACATGAAGTTGTAAGCAGCCTCGTGGGTAATTTGTTCCGTGTTGTCGAGAGGGTTCAAGTGATGATTGGTCCATGGGATAATAGAATCTGAGCCCAACTTCTTGAAAACTTCTTCTGGAAGCTCTGGTCCAAATCTAAGAGAATGGATTTGATGAGAAAATACGTGACCCCCGGGGACAGGTGTATCGAAGAAATTGTTGAGGTCGTGAACATGCATATTTCCGTTGGTAAAACTGCGACCAGGAGCAATGTGGAAATTTCCAATGACCTTGTTTACCCGGAGACCACCTTCAATGCGACATCCTTCTTTGCGTTGCGAATCCAAGCGTTCGCCATAATGTTCACGCTCACATTGTTCGACATTTTCTCCTCGGCCAAAAGCCCATGAAACTGACGCATATGCTTCTCGTACTTCGTCACATGTATTACAGCAGCCTGGCTTTTGCGCATTTGAAGGAGGGGTAGCACCGTAACATGGACCGCAGTAATTCGGATCAAGATGAGTTGCTGAATCTTCGGCATTATGGCTACATGATATCAGTCATGACTCAGGAGTTACGATGGTGAAATACATACAGATCCAAGGCTTTGATATCAATGACTTTACCTCCTTCTTCTTGGGGACCCAGTCGAACCTTCTTAACTCCGTGCATAACACCAACTTGCTGTTCTCCGGAAACATCCATTACGTCCAGCGTGAGAAGTTCGCAAGGAATTTTTGGAAAAGTAATGTTCAAATGAATTTCCATCTTTTCACCTGCAGAGAGAAATAATGATTAGTTTCCATTTCATGGATCTCACAAATCTCAAGTATAACACACCTCTTCCCTTGTCAACTACAAGCTCAGGATGTACTGTTATCCTCCTGTAATCCGCCCATTCTCCAAATGCCAGATACAAGACGATTAGCAATGAAGCTATCGTTACAATTCCTCCTGAAGTTGTGCGCACTCTTGCTTCATCGACCGTTTTAGTAAAGGCATCTAGCCTTGTAAACCTAGATTTCGCAGGCATTTTCGCTGGATGTTGTAAAAAGTTGTATTATTGTTGTGTTGGGCGGAGTAGCCTTGCGGCGTGGGAAATTGAGTTTGGAGGATCTTTCAGAAATACATAAATCAAGTAGATGATTCGAATAATTTTCAATTAGAGTGTAGGAACGCAAAAACGAATGAAGGATCGATCATATAAGAGCTTCTTTTTTCAAAAAGGCCACCGGCAAAAGCATCCAATGTGATTTCAGAGAGAATATGTAAGTAAGAAGTTATTTTTAATTTTGGAAAACTCTCAGTCCTTCAAGTCTCAGTCAATCAATCGCATTTTCAATTGAGGACAGCTTTCCATTGAATGGATTGCTCTCGGTCGGGTTGTTTTAGTCCGGCCCCTCTTGTGTGCACTTTCAAATCTAACCCATGTTCATGCAGGGAAAACTACGCGTAACACAGACACAATTATGGTTCAAAGCTTTGAAAGGTCAATTCGAGAATTGTCTGGGAGAATTGTCTGAGTCAAATGCACAGATATAGAAAGAGAGAGAATGCAAAAAATACGATATGATACTGGGTATGTTTGATATGAACTTATTAGTATGATACCTTTCTCTTCTCAGATAACGGAATCATGACCACCTAATATGTTCTACGGGTACCTGCTGGATTGAGATACCTACTTCGTAGATAGTTGTCGCCTGAGGCATAATATGTGCGGCCGCATGTGGCAGCTTCAGCATCAGTAGTTTTATGAAATTTTGGGTGAGGCTGAGTTATAAATAGAGGGGTCAAATAATGAAGCATTCTTGTATCGAATTGAACGAATGTTGAATATCTACAGAAGTATTTTCTATGAAGAAACTTGTTTCAGAGTAAATAGTAATAAGACCAGTACGGTTGATATCAGTAGGTACTGACTCATCACTCACGAATCATCTGTACACTTGCAGTATTACCTTCCCAGGTACCTAGTAGGCAGAACCTTAAATCAAGGCTGGGCAGCAAATCCACGATTTGTGACTTCAGCCCTGCTTATGTCATCATTGAAGAACTTCTTAATCTTCTTCTTGCTAGCAACTTCTCTTTATCCCAACAAACCTTCTTTCTTTGAATATCACCATCAACTTCAACCAGAATTATTTAAAACAATAGAACCGAGATTCCTTTAGACCGTCGTTTCTACTGAATCAAATCGATTGCGATAAATCTTCATCCCTTCTACGAAACATCCACCACTCTTTAGAAAAAAATCGCATCTTCAAGATACGTCATAACAATTAGCAACAATCTTCTTGCACACTTTGCGACTTCTAATATTTAACCAACATTGCAAATTCAAATACGACTCTTATAATCATAACGACTTCGAGATGATGAACCGAACATCAGCGCCTCCTAGAGGTCCGCGGAACTCATCTTCAAGTACACGAGGTGGTGGTCGCGTGGGTGGTGGTGGTATCACAAAGCGACGAGCTGGTCCTATTCGAGTCGATAAAGATGGAGACTTAGATATGGATACTACGACAGGCGCAAACGGTCGCAAAGGGGGGAAGGGTGCTATCGGAAGCTCTGTTCCAACTGGACCACGCGGACATGGACGAGGAGGTGCAAGAAATACTGGCCGTGGCGGCGGAAGACTCGACGTCACACGAAATCCGCAGGCCATCCTTCGAGGAATGGGATCGCAATCGCAACAAGCCAACGTATTGGTTACTCTCTGGATCAAAGGATTGAAGGGAAGTAAAGCAGCTTCAAATAGTGACCAAGGCCTTTCGTCCCTAGTATCATTTCTCGAACGCAAGGCCACAGCATTGGACTCCAAATCGAAGAGAAGTATAAGAGTTAAAAAGGTACGTTTTTATCGCCATGATTTCGGGATCACGAGTTCCACTGCGCTGTCGCCGTAATTTTTCGCTCTTGTCATGTCAAGTTCACTACAACGAGTCGAGAATTGACACTTTCGCTTTACCACCTCATGATCCCGGTCGACTTCAAGGTTATCTATACTTTGCTAACCCTCGAATAGTCACACAAGAAAGGTGACATCGTTGTTATCTCAGTTGCGCCGGAGGACGTAGCCTCTATTATGAAGTTGGATGGTTTCGCATTTGCTGGATCGACAATTGGCGTACAAGATAGCGAGCCATCGAAGACATCGGAGAAGGCAGAGTCTGAGGAGGCTCGGTTGACTCGAGAGAAGATCCAAGGAATTCTTGCAGCTCGATACGATCCCAACCTTAAGCTTTTAAATCTCTCGGCTTTGGGACAAGACGAGCAGTTGAAGCAGATGGGAATGTTTGAAGATAACACTCTTGTCTCGAAGCTTTTCCCAGTTTTGATGGTCATCTGCGACAAATTATTCACCACTCCACAAGCTAAGAAGGATGCCATAGTAAGTGTCACTTTGACCGACAACTCATTGGTTGATCTTTCAAACGTCACCTCTTTAGCTTCAACATTTCCAGACTTAAAGAACCTGGATCTTTCCAGAAATCAGTTTGCCGATCTGGAATCCCTGAGATTATGGCGCTGGAAATTCCGTCACCTTGAAAACCTAGTCTTGTCGGGAAATCCTATAGAAACCCTGGTTCCAGATTACGCAACCGATATTGTACGCTGGTTCCCAGAACTTCAACAGTTGAGTGGTGTTCAGGTCAGAAGTGTTGCTCAAGTCCACGCAGATCTTGAGGCTATTAAATCACCATTTCCAATCGCTAGCCCATCTTTCCGAGATGTCGCACAAGTTGGGGAAAACTTTATAAGACAATTTTTCGGAGCATACGATAACGATCGCAATGCTCTACTCACTAATTTCTACGATGCCGAATCTTCTTTCTCACTATCTGTCAATATGTCAGCAGTTCGAGATCGCAATCATTCATTGCCTGTCCCACCTTGGGCAGCATACAACAAATTCAATCGAAATCTTGTCAAATATACACATTTATCTACTAGGTTATCTCGAAAATCTACTGGATCTCAAGCAATTCAAGCCGTCTGGAACGATTTACCTAAAACAATTCACCCCGAGATCGCCACCCGGCCCGAGCTATATCTTGTCGAATGTCAACCCCTTCCAGGTCTTCCTGATCCTTCTGGGCAGAGTGCCGCTGGGGTTGACGGTCTTCTCATCGACGTACACGGTGAATTTGAGGAGAATATTCCTAATTTTGAAGGCAAAGCTCTCCGTAGCTTTTCGCGATACTTCATACTCGGACCCGGAGGGCCTAATGGACCCCCTATTAGGGTTCTTAGCGATATGCTTGCGCTAAGGGCTTGGAGTCCTTTGGCTCAGACGACTGCAGTTCAAGGACCTCAGCCGGTTCCAGTACTTCCAAATGTTCCCCAGGTTCCTATTATCGATGCTTCACTCACGCCGGAGCAACAACAAAAGATATGCGCCGAGAAACTTTCCGCTGAGACAGGCATGAATTTACAATATTCGGCCATGTGCTTAGCAGAGACAGGATGGAATTTGGAACAGGCCTATATTGCTTTCCAAGCCAACAAGGCAAATTTACCAGCGGAGGCTTATCAAAAGCCATAAGTCGAAGGAAGGATGGAAGGGGGGGAGGAAGGAACGCAAAAAGAGTTCATTAGCACCGGCGTTTTTTTATGTTTTTCTGTTTTTTGTGAATCAAGATAATAAAAGAGAAATGGGTGGCGAGCATTTTGCACGAAATGGAGGTTACGGCAGCATTATATGGAGTTTTTCCTCAGGGTTTTTTGGTCTTATCAGATTTGCACCCAGCAATTCTCAGCGTAAATGGAGTTTTGGGAATACATACATACAGTTGTAAAAACGTATGTTTAGCGGAATTAAAGGGGAGGGATGCATATGAATCATTACACGCAAATCAAATTTTGGACGATATTCTCGGTGCTCTGTGTGCTCAGCGTCTTCAGGAAGGACACGAGGAATTTGTAGATAGAATGGACGGATGAATGAATGGATGGACTTGTCCGAATTATGATAATTGGTACTGTACTGTACTGTATTATAGATACCATGTCCTCTATAGCGGATTATACAGGCTTTTATTCTTGATTCTTGACTCTTGGGATGACTTCTTGCTTTTTTGTTGTGTTGTGTTGTTGTGTTGTGTTTATATATGTGATTTGGTATGGTTGTGTGAGAGGAAAGAGGAGATGGAGGAGATATACTATCTATAAACCCATCCATGTTTACTCTCTCATATCGTGTTTATCCTATCATACATATCATATCATATCATATCACATCATGACCGTTTTACCACTTAATATTTATGTTATTTACCTAGGTAGGTAGGCTCGAAATTTAATTGTGGCATCTTTAAACCAGCAGTTCCAGTACCATACCTCGAGGCTAAAGTAGAAGAGTATTTTTTCCATTGAACTTTTGAATTTATATCTGTTCATCTTTTACAATCTATCTCCATAAGCTTCTAGTAATAGATAGGAAGTTGTTAGTTGCAAGTGAGAGGAATGGGGGCAATAGTGTGATCAAATTTATTTCCACGAGTACGATATCAAAAATCGAATACCACAATTAATTATTAGATTTCTTATTATGATATCATTTGTATCGCTACATAAATCAATCACTTTCATCTGATTCGCTATGCTCCAACCCTTCCATATATCAAATACTATGTGTTCCCACCCGCCTGTCTTAACGGATGCGCCTCGGTATTCAACACCCACTCATCCAAACTCACTACTCCTGGCTCGCTAAACAACAAGTAGAAATACTTCAGCGTCTCTGCCAACCAGAAGCTTTCCATCGAATCTTCCTTGTCTGGTTTTTGCTCCATCACATTTTTGATTCTCGCATTGGCTAGAGGTGTATGCGTATGTTTCACAATGGCCTTGAACATTTTCCAGCCCGTTTCCTGCCAAGCGCGATCACCCGTTAATCTGTACATGATGAAGACGGATTCGATGGCTTCAGGGCGGAGTTGGTATGATGGGTCGTCGACGCGGATATATCCGGTATCTGAGCTGGAGCCGGAGAAAGTACAGGAAGATGTATTGGTGCAAGGGTTGACGTGGAAGATTTCAGGCATGATTCCCGAAGGTGTGTGTTCGTATGCCCAAACGCAACCTTTGGTGAGTTTGATGGCGGTTTCCATTTCTGATGGGGATTGGGATATCCGGGAGCCAAGACCTATCATACCTCCTGTGAAACAACCAAGATGTTGGATCTGAGCGGTTAGGAGTGGTTTACCGGAATTGATGTTCACTGTGCCCGTGAAAAGAATATCGGGATCACCTGGGAGATTGGGACGGAAAACTAGGTGTTTATTTATGGTTGATAATGCAGTACGATACATTTTCAGGTATTGATCAGCAGAAGAGGATTTCGGAAGAAGTAAATGAGTCTTTGGAAGATATTCAAAAGC